CGATCCTTTCATTGCTGGGGCATACTTTAGGACTGAAAAATGGTTTTTTCCTTGTTTCATTATTTTTTTATCACACACCAATCCCTTTTCCACCCAATGCTATTGTGAAGGTGAAGCCACAGTAGTGAAATATTGCCAGTGCTCCTGAAATCATAAGCCAATATCTGTGCATTACTCACTGGGAATGTCACATTCCCTCTGAAGCCTCCTGTGGCTCAGATGTGTTCCCCAGTTTTGCTGCCTGGCTCCCCAGGGCATGGCTGGTCACTGGAAGGGGTAAACACCTCCCTCAACTGGATGCCAGCGCAGCCTGTGCTGCAGCACCTTTGGTGGGATCCGAATACTTTGGGGGAGTTTCTCAATCCCCACCTCAAGAGTGCTAAACCTCTCTGGACTGACAATTCTGATACCAGGCTGTTACCTTAATGCCACCTTTACCTCAAGCCACATTAGAGTGAAAATAGTAAATACTTTGTTACGAATTTCAAAACAGAAAAAAGTTGACAAAGGCTTCTAAAGATGGGAGAGGAGAGGAGAGGAGAGGAGAGGAGAGGAGAGGAGAGGAGAGGAGAGGAGAGGAGAGGAGAGGAGAGGAGAGGAGAGGAGAGGAGAGGAGAGGGGCGAGCCCAGCTGTACAGTTTCTCAAGCCATTATCAGTTCGGCTGAAAAATGGACGGAGCCATCATCACCTTGCTGGTAGTGTGAAAACTGAAATGTTTTCACACAAGCCCTGTATTGTGGGACTGCCTGTGCAGAAAGGCTTTCTTTGGGGACCCGTCTTGCTCTCTGTGTTTGGGTTAATTTCAGTTCAGACCTCTACCCTACACACACATATACACATATTCATCAAGATTCATTAACCCTCACAGGAATGAAGGTAACAGCTCTTGGGCCTGGCCCAACCCTGTCGAGAAAGAGTTCTCATGCCTGGCTTGAGTCTGGAAAATGTGTTATCTTCCTGTGAAGCACAACCCACTGAGGTAGGAAACATTCAGACCCTGAAGGGAAGCTTCTTGATCCACTGAAGCTTATGTATCACGTGAAAGCATAAGCTGACAACAGGTTTATGCAGGTATCTAATTAGAATAGAGTGTCTGTAGCTCATTAGAGGCTTTTGGCTGAGTAGACAAAAACAATAAGCAGTTGTGATGATCACCATTGGGGTGACAATGGGGTAAACCAATGATGTGTTTGAAAAATATCTAACAAGTAGCCAGGGAGCCTCTTCTCTCCTCCAGGCTGAAAAGTGTGACGTCCAGCAGCCTGCCTTTTCTTACCCTTTCATGGGATGCACAACAGCACCTACCAACTGTGCATTCACAGACTGCTGATCTGCATCATTGCTTTGGGCATGCAATGCCATCCAGAGTAAATGGGACATGTGGGAAAAACCTGGACCTTAGCAGAGACAAGGTGTCTTGGAAGTGTAAGATGTAGCTTAGATGCTTGTACTACAGGTGTTTGTACTCCTCAGGAGCTCTTGGTAGCTCTGCACTTTTGCAATTTTGGCTTTCCTGGGAGAAGTTTGAGTTCAAATCCTTGTGGAATTTAGGGAAGTAGAGCAAAGGAGCAAAAATGGTTGTATCCTCTTACCTGCACATCAAAACACAAAGCTCCTTTCCATTTTGGTGAGGCTGTAGAACACGTCTCCTCTGTTAGATACAGTGCATTACATTACAAGTAGCAACTACAGTGGGTAATTAGTAACAAAAATGGCAACTGCCTGTACCATTGAAAGGTTACAGCAGATGCCTTAGCACAGGAGGCAAAGTGCAGAGATGCAGTTTGTGACAGGAAGTGAAGATTTCATACCCACTAAACTGGGGGAGGAATTATGGCACATTCTGGTTGCAATAGAAAGTGGCTCCCTATCACAAAAGATCCCATAGGATTTGATGTACCTGTGAATGGTCAAGCTCTGAGTTTCATGTCTCCTCTGCAACAGGGAATTTAACAGCCAAGTATGGCAAGGGGTTTTAAGTCAAAATGGCCCCCAAAACTGCAGGTATAATGGACATGTTCTGAGAAGAAGCAGTCAGGCAAAACTGCACATTCAAATCAATTATTACTCTTTTCGGGTTTTGGGGTGGGTGTTTGGGTTTTTTGGTTTTTTAAGACTAAGAGCTCTCCATCTTTATCAAATTCAGGGGAAAAAAAAAAACAAAACCAAAAAAAAACCCCACACAACACCAACAACAACAACAAAAAAAAAAAACAAAACGCAACGACAAACTTAAATCATTCTGTAAGAGAGGAGAGATTCAGCATCCGCACACCGATTTTGTTAATGTTCCAATACGTCACCCTGCAGTCCCGGTTTTATTATTGCTCCAACGCATCTCCCTGCGGTAACAGCGGCACCTGCAGGATTCGGGAAAAGCAGCACAGACACCTCCGGTGGCTCCGCAGAATATCATCCAGGCATCCGGAAAGGTTTTCCTGAGAACCCTTCAGCCAGAGAAATCTGAGCAGCCATGGGCCTCTGTGGGACAGGGGTTTTTCAAGAGAAAACGTGGATAGTTTTTTGTGAGAATCTTCTCACTCTTTTGGCAGGGTGGCGGCAGCACTTCTGAGCAGGTGTGGGCAGTGGGACATGTTGAGGAGCACAGAGCTGGTTTATTGGCAAATATATTTTTTAAAGTCTGTTATATTAAAATTGAAGACATTTTTAATTCCTTCACTACAATGACTACCATTCTTGGTGTTGGTTAATCAAAAGGCCTCCTCATTACATGGTGCAATTTCACACTGTCAAAGGTACTTTCAGGCTTATTCCTGAAAATGTACAGCATGTTTTGGGAGATTCACAACAGTATATGGCATCATTAGCTCCATCCTGTACAGCTCCTGTGTGGCCCAGAAGACACGTGCTGAAGAAGTGCCCTTTGCTGGGGGCAGAACCATGAACACAACACAGCACAGGCCTTTGGGGCAAAATTACTTTCCCAGCAACACTATTTTGTGTCCATAAATTTGGAACTATGGTGTGAAATCCTAGTGCTGGCCAAGAGTTTAACAGCTGACATCAGCCAGCCAGTGAGCCACTGGCATTTAGGAGAATTCTAAGCCTTTTACTCACAGGCCACTTCCGATGAATAAAATGTCAGCGCAAGAGGGGTCTGGCTTCTTTTTCTTTGTCAAAAAAGAAAAACTTTGATGCATTTATTAGCCAGGCTTAAAATATATAGATTTATATCAGCATGCATCCAACTGTGTACTTGCAGAAATATCTTCTCTCTAGATCTATGTTTTCTATGGGTATTTTTTGAAGACCAACTTGAAATGTAATTAGAATGTAATGCTGATGAAGACAGAAACCAACAGCCCCCCGAGGGTATCATGATTCAGATTCTTTCCAAAAGTATATTTAAAAGTTATTACAATGAAATGCAGACTCATGAGAAAAACCTGAGGGGCCATGACCATTGTAACTGTGAGCAGACATGTTTTTCTTTCCCAGCCTCACAGTAAATAGATATGGAAGCTTTCCAAGAGGCTCTCTGATCGCTTTTTGCTCTGGCTGGATATTATGCTCCTGGAACAGCTGTGGAAAACTCTGGACATGTTTTTCTCTCAGAATTAGTGCCAGGTCTGCTGGACCTGGTGACTGCATGCACTTAACTCAGTAAGTGATGTTCATCCCCCATCAGAGCTCAGGCATGCCGTGACTCAGGGAATTACACAGACTAAGATGGAAGCACACTTTGCCTCAGGATCAGTGCTGACCCCAGAGACCCGCATGGTGCTGCTACAGGACACTGATGAAACATCTGTGCTGGAACGAGGAGGAAGGCCCACACTGTGGACAAAGGGGCAGCTGGGCTGTGCCTGCCTGTCACGCTCCTGGAACAGTTGTGGAAAACTCAGGAGGGATGCTTTCCTCTCAGAATCAGCGTCAGCTCTGCCAGACACAGTGATCATGTGCGTTTACCTCAGTATGTGATGCTTATCCCCTGTCAACACTGCTCTGCTGCCACAGTCCCAGGCAGTGTCCCTGCCTCTCATTTCTGCCGTTCCCTGGGCTGGTGGCAGCTGCAATTTCTCCCCAACATAGCCATATTTCTCACAAGCACAGACTGAGGTGGACAGGGACCCAGTTTGCAAGAGCATGACTAGGACTGAGGGACAGAGGTTGTGAAGGCAGTGACTAAGTGAATAACCTATTGCAGGATCAGTTTTAACCACAAAAAAGCTCTTTGCAGAGCAGGGATCAGAGGTGTCTGTAGGGGTGTACAGGGTCTCCTCACTTTAAAATGGACATTGAGGTGCTGGAGCATGCCCAGGGAAAGCAACAAAGCTAGAAAACATGTTTTAGGAGGGACTAAAGGCAGCAGGGGTTGTTCAGTCTCAAGGAGGCTCAGGGGGGACCTCACTGCTCTCCACAATTCCCTGGAAGGAGGTTATAGTGAGGCTGGGGTCAGTCTCTTTTACTGTGCCTGCAGTGAAAGGACCAGAGGAAATGGCCTTAAGCTAAGACAGGTGAGATTCAGATTAGATGTTAGAAAAAAAAAATCACTATTTGGGTGGTCAGGCAGTGGAATAGGCAGTGTCCAGGGAAGCAGTGGAGTCACCAGCCCTGGAGGTGTTTGAGAGACATCTGGATCTGGCACTGGGTGATGTGGTTTAGCAGTTTAGGGGTTGCAGGGGCAGTGCTGGGTGGACCATTGGAATGAATAATCTTAAAGGTCGCTTCCACCCATGATGATTCCGTGATGCCTGTGGAGCCTCACGGGGCCAGGTGCCCAGGCAGGCGCATAGACAAAGGAGCGAACAGAGGTACCTGAACCAGTACCGCCGTGAGGGCAGGTGCTCGGCACACAGACCCCGCGGCACACACAGAGCCCTCACAAAACACGCACCCCCACAGCGCCCTCAGCCCCGCCCGTCCCGGTGCCCGCCCCGTCCGGACAGCGCCGCCTCAGCGGGAGCGCGCCCCTCACTTCCCCGCCGCGCACGCGCCGGGGCGGGGAGAGCGGGGCGCGTGCGCGGCGCGAGGCCGGCGTCGGGGGGTCCGGTGCCGCAGCAGCGATGGCGGCGAGTGCCGGGATGGGCAAGGGCGGTTCTGCCTCCAGCTCCGTCTCCAGTTCCGAGCGGCACGCCCGCCTCCTCCTGGCCCAGATCAACCGGCTGCGCGCCGGGCACAGCTTCTGCGACGTGCGGCTGGAGGTGGGCCCGGAGGCGTTCTCCGTGCACCGCCTGGTGCTGGCGGCCAGCAGCCCGTACTTCGCGGCGCTGTTCGCGGGCGGCATGAAGGAGTCCGGGCGGGACGTGGTGCGGATCGCGGGCGTGGAGGCGGACACCTTCCACACGCTGCTCGACTTCATCTACACAGGTGAGGGCTGGCGGCGGGGCGAGGGGCGGGTGCCCGGCGGCCGCAGGCTGGAGCGGGGCCCCGCTGTGGTTTGGTGCCCGCAGGCGTGGTGAGCATCGCGGAGCACAACGTCCAGGAGCTCATCGTCGCCGCGGACATGCTGCAGCTCACCGAGGTGGTGGAGCTCTGCTGCGAGTTCCTCAAGGGCCAGATCGACCCGCTGAACTGCATCGGCCTCTTCCAGTTCTCCGAGCAGATCGCCTGTCACGACTTGATGGAGTTCACCGAGAGCTACATCCACGCGCACTTCCTGGAGGTGCAGGGCGGGGAGGAGTTCCTGGCGCTCACCAAGGAGCAGCTCGTGAAGATCCTGCGGAGCGAGGACCTGAGCATCGAGGACGAGTACCAGGTGTTCGCGGCAGCGATGCAGTGGATTCTGAAGGACGTGGGGAAAAGAAAGAAATACGTCGTGGAAGTACTGGAGCCTGTTCGGTTCCCTCTGCTACCAGCGCAAAGGCTGTTAAAATACATAGAAAGTAAGTGAGAGAAGGAATATCAGATGCATGTATGTGAGCAAACTATGTGTTCAGAGTTACTGGGCTTTGATGGACTATTCTTTACGTTACTGGCATGATGAATAAAATCATTTTTAACAAACAAGCTCTATTTTTTAAAAAATAAGCACAGCTTACTTTAAAAACATGCATTTGAAAATGCCTTATAAAAGTAAGCAACATTGATTTCTCTGCTGTTTTCAGAGAAGTTAGTAATTTTTCTACAACTGAATTGCTTACAATTTGTGACTTTCCACTGTGAATTTTTTTCAATTCTGCTAATTTTATTCTTATTCTGCTTATGTTACTCTTGAAGATATTCCAGATTTCAGTCTTCGAGTGGCCCTGCAAACTCTGTTGAAAGAATATTGTGAAGTCTCTAAGTCTCCCAAAGAGAACAAGGTCAGCAGTTTTCTGCAGGCTTCTAAAGGTCGTCCCCGGAGGAAAGCCAGGAAGTACCTTTATGCAGTAGGTTAGAATGTGGCTGTTTGAACCTTATAAAACAAATGAAGTAGTATCTCAGAATGCAGGAATGAAGGAGATACTCGAGAATTATTTAAAAAATCAAAATATATGATTCCAAAACATTACATCATGGCTGAGTTACCATATTAGTAGCTTTGATTAGAGTTGCATAGGAGTCCAGCATTCACATTTCTTGTCATTGTGACATGGCATTCAAAGCCCAGATTTGCTGTTCAAAACTAATTTGCTTTGGGTGGAAAACTGCAAATCAGCAGAGGATTTACCCAGGGCTCACTGCTGGAATAGTGTATGCAAATTCATTGCACATTTTGTTCTGATGGCTGTAGTTTTCTCTGTGCAGGACACTTTGGTTCATATGATGGGATACTTGAAAATCCAAGTTTTCAGCAAAGCTGAAGTTTTATATTGGAAAGGAACGTGTTTGTTTCACTCTGTGGGCAGTAGCACCAGCTGTTGGTCACACACACTTGTGCCTCACTTGTTTGTTGTTCTAATACTCTAATTCTGCAGGATTCAAAGATTATAAAGTTCTCTCTTGCCTTCTGCCTTTTATCTCATGAAAAGTTTTTACATGGCTGCCAGTATGTTATGCAGCAAAGGCTGTTGGCTGATCCTTGTATTTTACTGAAAACATGAATTCTAATATTTTTAGTGTTGTGGCATCAGCTCAGCACAATTCCCATGACTCTTGAGGCAGCCATTCTTCCTTGTATGCTGGAAAAAGGAAGCTACTTGGAAAAATCCAGTTCCTTCTAAGAGTGGCTAATGGCTGTTACTGTAATATTTTTCATGGTTTAGATATAGGAGCATGAGGGTGAAGAGGAAGCTCTTACTCGGCCTTTCCCCTTGCTTTGCAGGTGGGTACACCCGGCTGCAGGGAGCACGCTGGAGTGACAGCAGAGCCCTGAGCTGTGTGGAGAGATTTGACACCTTCAGCCACTACTGGACCACGGTGTCCTCTCTGCACCAGGCCCGGAGCGGGCTGGGCGTGGCTGTGGTGGGAGGAATGGTCTATGCCATTGGAGGTAACAGCTGAAATAAGCTTGCTTTCTTACATGAATGCTGGAGAACTCATGAATGGAGACTTTCAAAATTTTTCTTCCTTGATTCTCTACTGTCACTGCTCTGTGAATGCCTGTTAGGGATCCTGTACTGGCAGTTTTTACTAAGCTGCTTTCCCCTCATGGTGTAGCTATTCACAGGTTACCATATAGATGTCTGCAGATATACTCAGAGATGCTGGCTGTTCTGGGGGATTCATGTACCACCGCTGGTGGAATTTGTTTTCTCACTTACAGTCTAGGAGAAGCCCATAGCACAAAAGGCAGTAGCACAGGACACACCACTTGTGCACTGCCTGCCTGGAAAGGCTCATTATGTCTGTTTGCACAAGGATGTGATGAGTAACTCTACCAGCCCATCACAAAAGAATGCATATGTAGACTGTTTTTGTCACCACAGAGCTCATTCTTTGGTCTTGAAAACCCAGTCAGTTGTGTTGAGGAGTAAAGCGTGCAGCACCCTGGTTGTTTATGATGTTTTCAGCAACATTTCAGGGAACTACTGATGAAAGTGGTTCCCAGTGATGATTCATGTGTAATCATCACTATGTATAAATGAAGCTTTTGCTATGTTGGCTGTTTCACCAAAAGATAAATCTTGAATTCAAATGTTGCCTATCCTGGAAGAAGTTGAAGAATGTTTCCATATCTGCAGTGCAAAAGATTGCATTTCCCCTGACTCTTCTTGCTTTTATTGTGCAGGTGAGGACAACTCCATGATTTTTGACTGTACTGAATGTTATGATCCTGTTACAAAGCAGTGGACGACCGTGGCTTCCATGAACCATCCCCGTTGTGCACTGGGAGTGTGCACATGCTATGGGGCCATCTATGCTTTGGGTAAGTTGTGAGGTTTTTCTTGGTGGAGTTAAAGATGTTAATTCATAGAACTTTTAAAATGATCTTAAATATTACATCTTGGTGATGCAAATTCACAAACTTTAAGTTTTGAAAAACATCTGTGTCCATAAATATTAACATATATACTAAATTTCTGTGGATTAGTTATTGTATGGTTATAATTTATTTTCATTGTAGACTGACTGCATGCTGATTTCAGAATTTGTCCTGGAACAGTACACTGCATGTCTAAAAATGCAGCTAATACACAACTTTGTGCTATTAAATTCCTTCCTGTGTTTGCTGTTATTTGCAGGAGGCTGGGTTGGAGCAGAGATTGGCAACACAATTGAAAGATTTGATCCTGAAGAGAATAGTTGGGATGTGGTGGGAAGCATGGCTAAGCCCCGTTACTGCTTTGGGTGTTGTGAAATGCAAGGTGAATATTGTTAGGTTTATATCCCTAAATAGTTCCAACAGCCATTGGATTTTGAAGCTTTATGTCTCAGTCATGAATTCTTACCTTTGTACTGAGCTGTCAGCCACACACGCTTGTGCCTTGCTTGTTTGTTGTTCTAATACTGCATTTTTAATTGTGCAGAATTCAAATACTATAAAGTTGTCTCTTGTCCCCTGCCTTTGATCTCATGAAAAGTTTTTACATGACTGCCAGTGTGGTTATCCTGCTAGTCTTTTTGCAGTTGCTTGTTCTTTCTGATACTGCTTTTATTTATCTTCCATATTTGGGTTTGCTTGTTTTTCTTTGTGACAGTGTGAAGGCTTGCCACAGGTTATTTTAAGACAGACATGTCTAAATACTTGACCAATAAATGTGCTGACTAAGTATTTGATCCTGGCCAGGTCAGCAGTTGCAACCTTCTGAATGAACCTTCCCCTGCACTTAATTAATTTTTGCTTTCCTCAGAGCTTCTAGTGCTCAAGCCTCAAGTTGCTCATGCAAAAGCTTTATGTATTCTACTACTGAGCAAAAGGAGGATTTTCTGACATTCTTTAACCATCTTAATGTCAGGCTGAAACCTGTGTTGTGACAGTAATTTTCTGTCTGCATTATGAAGCCTAAAAGAGGAGAAGCTCTGTCTCTGCAGGTTTGATTTATGTCATTGGTGGCATCAGCAGTGAAGGAGTAGAGCTGCGTTCTGTTGAAGTCTACGACCCCATCTCCAAACGCTGGTCTGAGCTCGCTCCCATGGGCACCAGAAGAGCCTATCTTGGTGTAGCTGCTCTCAACGATTGTATCTATGCTGTGGGAGGCTGGAATGAATCCCAGGATGCACTTGCCAGTGTAGAAAGATATTCATTTGAAGAGGTATGGCAGAGTCCCTCCTTTTCATAAATGTAGATTGCATCAGCTTTATGTAAGATGCTATAGAGCCTGCTTCCTTTCTTTAAAAAGAAAAAGCTGGAAATTCCATTTCCTTTTCACTGCTGGCTGGGTATCTTGAGTGAAACAAAGCTTTGGTGATCTCAGGGTCTGTCCTAAGTAATTGCCATGTTTTAACTATGCACAGATATACTGTAGTTTGGTAAATACTTTTTAGGGTTAAGATGAGAGGATAGATTCCCCCTCTGCAGCAGAAAGCTCAATAATCTGAATAGAGAGAAAAAACTCATTGTAAAGGTAAGAGTTACATTTTATTGCAAAATTTGGGTATCTTCTTCTACATCAAAATGTAGTGATGTTTCAGCATGACTAGAAGATAAAAAAATTTTCCAGACTGATATTGCTCATGTTTTTATGATGCTCTTTGTAAGAGTAGCTACTGTTAAAAGCAGAACATAATCCCATGTGCCATCTGTTTTGCTTTTCAAATTGAATCTAGTTTTCCTGTTTCCCCCACCTCAAACTGTGCCATGCTCTATTTTAGAGACTGACTGCATCTTGCAGTGACTGAAGAAAGGGAGGGGTGTTGCGTGCAGACAGTATGGGATCTGCTTTTAGAGATTACCACAATTTGGACCCCTTGTGAAAGTGTTGTCATTCCTGTCTTGGTAATCTTCTGGATACTGTACATATCCCACATGTAAGCCTGTGAAGTTATACACAGTGTTCTTTGTATATGTTTTGCTCAGTCTTTGAGCTTTAAAAGTTACTTAAGCAGAATCAGGGCTTGCCTTAAAGCTATTTCTTCATCTTTCACCTTTTTGTTAGGAAAAGTGGGTTGAAGTTGCATCGATGAAGATCCCAAGAGCTGGTGTTTGTGTTGTGGCTGTGAATGGACTTCTCTATGCCTCAGGAGGCAGAGCTCCCAGTCCTGATTTTGCTGCTCCAGTAACCTCTGACTCTGTTGAAGTTTATAACCCTCACATGGACAGCTGGACTGAAATTGCCAACATGATCACCAGCCGCTGCGAAGGAGGAGTAGCTGTGCTGTGAAACACAAAGAACAAAATTCATTCAAGGAATGAGTCAATTATGTCTCCTCAGATTTCCTGTTTCATTGGCCAGAAACCTCTTTTAACACAGGAGCTTCAGTGGAGAATTAGATCAGAGGGATTTTCCTGAGCAAAAGGAAAAGCCCTTCAAAGTAAATTGGCTTATCCAGCGTCTGTCTCAGGAAGTATTCTGTTAAGAGTAGGAATGCCTCTTAGAACTGGATTAAGCTCACTGAAATAAATGGTGAATTTACCCTGTAAAAATCTGAAGAAATAATTCCAACACATTAAGAGACATTAATCAGGTTGTTACTGAGCACAGACTTGCAGTCTGGAAGTGAGTTACTGTCAACAGCAAGGAGTTACCTGTTGGTAAGATCAGATGGGTGATTTGGATGGCATTAGTTCTTTTTCTGGCAGAAAACAAGGAAGAGAAGATAACACACAGGAAAGACTTGGTGCCACTACTTATGACCTTGATGCATTTAAGCCTCTTTTCTCTTGCTGGACATGGTGGGCATTAAATATGAATTGGATCTTCAGTTTCTGGCTGCTCCACAAATTTGAATGGTGAATGGATGAGAATTTCCTGTTCTGGAAGGTCGTCCTCACAGAATAATGCCATTCCCCTTCAGTGCTGGCTTTTCCTCTCAGTGGTGTCAGTGATGCCAGTAGAGCTCCTTTTTGTGTAGGCTCTGGTGAATTTTAAATGCAAATGCAATAGATTGGCTGCTCTGTTTAAGACTGCTCTTAGTATAAAAACACAGGGAAAGGCTTTTGCCCCCATATTTTTTCCCCATAGTGAAATGTGTTTTTACCCTGTGTGACACACACTGAGACTTGGCATTGAATACTTGCTGTTCTACGAGACACATTCCTTCACCTTCACTGCATCTTGTATCCTGCCTCATCCAAATTTGAGCCAATGGGGCTTTCTGTGCTAGAATTAGCTGCATTTAGCATTGAACTGATGATATCAGTGTGCTCTTAAGGAGTTTGTATTTAGCTCAGACACACTTAGTAGAACAATACTACAAAGAGTTTGGAGTTATTTCTAGATTCAAGTTGTTTTTTGCACACTGTGGCTGCATTTTCAGCACAGCTGTGGATGATGTGGATGGAGTCTGAAGTGAAGCTGCTTGAATTTTGATAGACAGTGTTATTCTGGATCACCAAACCACAACTGGAATGCCACAAAACAGGAAGCCTGGCACTGTAGACAAAGGAGCATTCATTCCTTTTAGGTCAATATCCCCTGTGTAAAATTAACAAATTATTACATGATAAATCCTCCAAGGTGAGTGTTGTAGGTACCTTAATAATTGAGGTCCTAAAATCTAACATAGAGTTGGACTAAAACATGCTAGATGATGGAGAGTCTGATTGTTCCATAATCTTGTGTGTGCTTTTACTTCAAAGAATTTCTTATGTGTCTGAATTAATGGTTTGATCTTGTTTAAACTGTTTTTCATAATAAAATGTATTTTCAGAACTGACTGGAATGCTCTTGAATAGGTTGCTTTCATAGCTTAGTAAGCTGTATTATGCCACTTTCATATAATAGGTCATTTTTTCTTTTTACTGGAAATCATATTTCCCAGTAGAACACTAGGTAAAGACTGGTTATAAATTTTGACTATTTGAGTGGTGGAAGTAACGCACTTCTGCAGTAAAATACTCATGTATTTTTCTTCTCAGTATAAAATCACTCAAACTTCTTGGGAGTCTGACTGTCTTGCCATCTCTGTTCAGCCCTCTGTGGGATGAAATTACAGGTAGTATTTTTTGGTCTTTCTTTATATTTCAGGATCCCTCTTGGAACTGTTTGAGAAACACTACCTTAGTAGTATTTTATTTGTTTGGGAACTACTTTAGGTTTACCTCTGATCCCTACCTGTGAAGTTCCTGGTTTAATGGAGCTTGAGGGAATCTGCAGTTGTCTGAAGTTACCTTCTCCAGGTTTTGTAACTGATTCTGTCTTGTTTGAATGAAACTTTGAAGCTGGTTGATGATGGTCTCTGATCCTCAGCACATCTTTTCCCTAATCAAGACAAAGACAGGACTCTTCTCTGGACCCATCTTAAAAGATGCTATGTCTAAGAAAGAAGGAATAGAAAAACCATTTTCATTCACAAACTCAATTTTATTTCCTTTATGTTGAAAAAGCTCCGAAATATTTTGTTTAATAGGGTACTTTCATAATTCAGCATAGAGCAATTGACACCCATAATTGCTTAATGTGTTCTTTAACATAAAAATGTTAACAGATTGCAAAAGGGAGAGGCTGATGTACAGAGCTGCTGTTTCAGCAACGTCATACAAGATGGTTCATTTCCAGGACAGGCAGGTTTCTTAAACATCTGTTCTTTGCAGAATGAACAGGTAACAAATTTTAAGGAACAACATGTGCTTCATTTGGTGTAGAACAACAATGAAGATCAGTGCTTTAACAGAACTATGAAGATTATCTGGTCCTAAGACCACATGTGGATGTCATTTTCAGCTTTCTTCCTGCATCTTACACTGTGCTTAAATACTTCTGATAAAAAGCTTACAAGAAATATGCCCACATCCCCTTTCTTGAGGTAGTGGACACAAAAAAGAAAATCCATGTGACTTAGGTTGTATCTTCCACTAAATGATGTGCTAGGAAGAATCCAGTACAGAGAGCAGATGCTTCTGCAGTGGTTTCAGTAATAAACCCATCGTGGAGGGTTTGCAGGCTGCCTACAAGCCCATTGGCACCTGTCCAAATGTACATTCTTAGGAGGGAGAAGCTACTTTCAGTCCCATTATCTGATCCCTTAGTGCCAGCACTCGAGTCCTTGTGTCACAGCATAAGTTAACAGTCCTCTAATTTAGGAGTATGGCAGATCTTTATGGCTGTGTTGCACACAGCTTCCTTTGCCAGGCAGCCCTAAATCCAAACAAAACTAGGAAGAAGTGGCCCAAAAAGCCTTTTTAGTTTCAGTAAGCCTGAGCAGGAATTTGGCCTTCCTTCTCCTGTGGCACCCTGTCAACCATACAAAGCTGCTTCTTCAGCTTTTCCCACTCCAGCACAGCAGCTGAATGACACATTTCAGGTGAGTGCTGACCTTGGCATCCCACTGCCAACAAACCTCACCTGTCCCTTCTTAGCTGACATCACACTGAGCACTCCCTCACACAGCATCCCTGGAAGAGTCCAGGCTGGATGGGGCTTTGAGCAACCTGATCTCATGGAAGGTGTCCCTGGTACAGCAGGGGATGGGAATGAGATGACTTTTCAGGCCCCTTCTGACCCAACCATTCTGTGATTCTGTGATTTTGAGCATCTCCTCTGAAAATAGGAGTGAAATAGGAGTCTTGTTCCACAACACAGCAACTGAGTAGAATGTGCTTCTGCATCATTCTCTGCTACTTCTTTAAACACCAAACTAGAACTGCTTTCACCTTGTTAGTGTTGTTTTCCCCACCTCAAAACGTGATCACACATTACAGTCAAACCAGATGCTTTCATAGTTCAGCACAGAGCAATTCATACCCATGTAATTTTGAATCTCCATTCTAAATTCCTAGAGCAGCAACATCTCATTCAGGAGTGATTCTTGTTCTACAGATAAGGACAGACTCGTGCTTGCCTTGGAAGTAATTGCTATTTACAATACTTCCCTCCTGAACTAGCTTCAAAATCAGTCGGAAAATCATTTTGCTTCAAGAATAAGCACCTTGATCCCTGCCATCATACCACAGTCTTTATTTCTCCTGGAACTCCATAGAAATACCTTATTAGCAGATAACAGCTTTTCCTTACAGATTTATCAATTTCTGTTCTGCTGTTTTTTTCTGTCATCACTTTGCTCCCCTTCTAAGAAAGCTTTCAGTGCTACAGTGGCCAACAGGGATGATATCATCACCACTGTTCCAAATACCCTCAGTACTTTGAACCACCTGGGGTAAGTAGGAAGAAGGGAAATGTCATAATGCAGTGCTATCCCTAAGGCCACCGTGAGCATCAGTGCTCCCTGAGTGACATCCTTGAAAAGCAAGGCTTGGCAGGCAAGCAGAGCAGGAACTGTGCCATTGGCCAGGTTCAGCCAGTCTGGCTTGGCTGGGCTGTTCTCTGGGAGGGCAAAGCCCCACCTCATGCCCCCCAGGAAGGAGGCAGTGGCAGCTCCATAGGTGACCTGAGCAAAGGCCAGCTGTGGGCAGTAGGAGCCCTGTGAGGCCATGGCCAGTGGCACAGCCACAAAGGGAATCAGCCCCCCCAGGCTCAGGTAGAGGACTGGCTTGGGACAATCCTTCAGTGACCCTGGGCTCTCCCGTGATTGTGCCTCAGGTTCTGCAGGGTTTTCCTTCTTGGAGACGGGCAGAGAGGAGTGGAAAGGCCGGAGCTGGGCTGTGTGAGCTGCTGCTGGCTGGAGGCTCAGAGGTGTGCAGAGAGGCCGTGCATCCCTCTGCAGCTGGAGGAGGGCCAGGGAGGAGCAGCTTCTCTTGTTCCTGCCATGGAGCAGCACGCTGGCACCAGGTAACTTCTGCAGCTGCAAGCACAAAACTTGTTCTCAGCACTGCATAGTGCAGGTTTACAGACATGCAGGTACCTAAACACCTCCTGAATATTGCACCAAGTGGTTTTCCAGCTCAGGTCACACCACAACTGTCTTTGCTTTTGAATTTCAAGTGGTTTTAACCCAACTAATGAAGGCACCCAATGCAGCTGATGAAGAGCAACTGGGCTCTCCAGAGTGCACAAGCAAAGCTTACTCAGTGCCCACCTATCCCTCCCCACACATTCTCTAGGCACTTTGAAGATGTATCAGTCCTTTTCAGAGTAAAATATAAAGTAGTTTCCTATAGAAGCAGGATAAGGTCACCCCAGAAATCAGCTACTGTCCCCTCACTACTCCACCAAGAAGTCATAGGAAAAAAAGACATTGAGGCAATAAATCTCAAAAAGCTATTCTAAATCTGAGCTAAATCTCAAAAAGCAAAGTTATTTTATAAAAGAAATAGCTTTGCCTAAAAGTGCTGTAGAAACAATGAACTATTCCAGAAAAGCTGAATTATACACTCCTACTTGGAAGCCACCTTTTGTTCCAAAGCTGCAGTCCTAGCTTTTGCTATTTTACTTTTAAATAAAATCAGCAAAAAAAGCCTTCAGTAACTTACTTTGAAAGGTGTCTTGAAGCAACATCGTTGTATGAGAGGAAACATGTTTGTTTTCTCAATGCCCTGAAACAGAAAAATTCAGAAGAAGGTTTGAAACCAATGAATCACTGACTTGGTCTGATGATCAAAGTTCAGTCACAGTCTACACTTATCAAATGCAAGAGTCTTACAGGTGTATATTTAAAGAGATATGTGTATATATATTATATATCTATTTACCCAGATCAGTATTTGCCCACTGCAGAATACTTCGTTTCAAGCAGCTCTATGAACTGAAATTCTAAAGTTGAATTAACTGTTGCAAGAACAATTTCTAGTTTAAAAACTGAGCATCAGGGAACAGATGTTGACTTCCCGCTCATGGATCATTCCCTCTTCAACGGATAAATGGCTTCACAAAGCTTATAAAGGAGCATTTCCTCAAGCGCGGGAAAAGCGATCATTAATTTAAAAAGGAGCAGAAAAGCCACCCCATGAGAGCTGCGGGTGAGCTCCCTGCCGGGGTACCACACTCACCGGGGGAACGAGGGCGGCTCGCCCTGGATTTGACTCCACAGTTCCCGCTCCTGCTGCGCCGGGAGAGCAAGGCAGCCCCGGCAGCCAAACTGCCCCGCCGGAGGGCGAAGGGAGCGGAGAATAAATGGATCTTCCAGAGGGAGGAGGGGCCGCCCTGCCCGCCGGGACCGGGCAGAACTCACCGGGCGCTGCCACCGCCCCGGACCCGCCAGCTGCGGTGCCTTCCGGTGCTCCCATAAGCGCTCCGACGGCGCCCAGTGCTGAGCGCTACCGGTCCGGGCGGGAACGGGCGCGGCCCATCGTGTTCCTCCGGGCCGCGGAAGGCCCACCGAGCCGATACCGGGGGCAGCAGTGCCGGTCACTCTCAGCCGAGGGCCGCGGTCGGTCTGACTGAGGAGCGACTCGCTCCTCTCCTACCCGCGGGACAGAAGGTCTCCTGGGAAGCAGTGCGGCCGTTCCTGCTTTCTGGCTTCCGGCATCACCTCCTCGGGCAAGCCTTTCACAGGCGGACTACGAATCCCAGGCCGCCCTTCGGCGCGCCGCTCGCCGATCCTCACGGCGGCCATGGTCGGTAGTCTTCTGGGACTTGTAGTCTGCGGCTGCTTCCGACAGGCGGTGACGGGGGCGGTGCGCGCCGCCGCCTCTGATTGGTGGGGCGGGAGGCGCGGGGGCCGGGGCCGGGGCAGGGAGGGGGAGCGGGGTGGGCGTGTTCCTTCCGCGTGCTCGGCCCCGCCCCGCGCGCGCGCGGGCCCCGCCCCCTCCGGCCCCCGGCCGGGCAGGGCTGGGCGGCCATTTTGGGCAGAGCTTTGTTATGGTTGTGGGGCCGCCGGAGCCGCGCCAGGGCCCGCCCGGTGAGTGCGGCCCCCGCGCCGCCCCCTCCGCGCCCCTAGCGCCCCTCGCACCCCCCGCGTCTTCACCCGGCCCCTGCCGCCCCCAGGCCCGCCCCGCCGCCCCCCGCGGCACCGCGGGCTCGGTGCGGCCCGGGAGCGGCCTCCCGCCAGGCCGGCCCCCCCCACCCCCCCCCCACCCCCCCCGCGCTCGGTCCCGCGGCCGCGGCGGCTCCGGGGGGGGCGCAGCGCGAGGTCCCCGCGGGCAGGGCCGGGCCGGGGTGGGCGGCGGGGCCGGGGCTCTGCGGGTTATTGTTTCCTGTTCAGCCGGGAAGTTCGTAGCGCTGACACTGCCGGAGCTGAGCTCCTGTCATGGGGCCGCCCGTGAGCGGGGCGGGGGGGGCGGGCCGGGGCGGTGGGTGAGTGTCGGGGGCCGGGCCGGGGCGACCCCGCTGTCGGCTGGAAACGGAACCGGGCGGCCCGGCCGTTCCCCTTGGGCTCCTCCCGGGCCGCGCTTCCCGGCCGCCCCCGGCGGGAAGGGGCGGTCGGCGGCCGGCAGTGACACGTGGGCTGCGGGCAGCGGGGCTCGGCTCGCCGTGCCCGCTGCCAGCGGCGCTGGGAAACTTGTCAGGTGCCGCTCGGTGCCTGCTCGCAGGCAAACGGCGCCCGGGCCGAGCGGGGGGCGGCTCTTTCGGGCGTCAAAGTTATTTCCGTATGTCCGGTGTGTTTGATGCCCTCTTGGCCTAAGGTCTTGTGTGGTTTGACTTCAAGGGCTGGGGCTGGACTTGCTCAGAGCGCGCCTGGCGTTTCCAGTATCCATTTCAGACTTTGAATTCGGTTCGGTTTAGTAACGAGCTGGTTTGGAACGATTTTAGAGCAGTCAGTAGGTGTCTGCACAAGTTACGAGTTTTTAAACAGCTTTAGAGGAGCAGTAGCTATTTAAATTCGTACAAGTAATGGTGGAATGGTTTAAGAGTGTTGCTTAAAGATCTTTTTATATTAACATGACCAGGTAGGTCAGGCTGCCTTTCCCCGCCCCCGAGCTGTGAGTGACACAAGCGTTAGTAATGTTGATAATGCTCTGAAACGTTGCAAGTGCCTGAGCAAAGTGTGGAAATAGCAAAGAGGGGGAATGGAGATAACAGCTGAGATAATTGGAGCGCCATCAAAGCTGAGTTTACTGTAGAGTTGACATTGCTTCTATAAAAATGTTAGGTGGTTATGAAAAAAGCTTATGCAAATGTTAGTTCATGAATGGAGATGGCTGGTATTTCAGTGAAAGGTTCCCCTTAAAGCTTATCCATTTGGAGACTGGTATCTGAAACTTCCACTTTCTGACTCAGGAAGGAAACAGGTGTGGAGCAGTGGCAGGAACAAATAAAATTCCCAAATTCTTCAAGCAGCTTTTCCTCTCACACTCTTTCACTTCATTTCTGGAGGAAAGTCCCTTTAAGAAGAACTTATTAAAAGTTTTGTATTTGGAATAGAAAGGCTTCAGGTGGTACTTCCTTATGGTGTTGGGGTTTTTTTACAGCTGTTTGTAGGGAAGTGCTGCAGCCCTCTGCATTTTATATTCATCTGGTTTATAGCCTTAATCCTATATGACACAGAAGTTTCCATTGCAGATATCATACAAGGACCTAAAGTGAAAATATGCAGGGAACAGATGGCATTTTTAAAAAACCACAAATCCTGTTTTTTCTGCAGTGTCTCAGAAATATGAGGAGCAGAATGCAGATGTGAAGTACAACAAATCAAATGGAAGTGCATACTTTCTGAATGTTAGGAAAAAATCTCTACTTTGAGAATATTTACAGGGTATGGTCACCTTGTCTCATATAGATGCAGTGTAACACTGCACAGTGTTACTGAATCTTGACATTCCTGTTTTAAATTAGGAAATTAAGTCACTACAGGAAAAATAATATTCACTAGCATTTTCATTAAATGGAAACAGTGTTTCAGGAGTTGTGGGATCCTTATTTTAATATAGAAAAATGCTGTGGTTAGATCTGTGACTTTCTTCAGCAGTGTGGGATGTCAGATAATGTAGTTCTTGCCTTTACAAAGTGAAGAAAAACTATTGGCTCAGGAGTTAAAGTTACCTTTTTTCCTCCCCAGTGTTAGGAGTTGTTTGAAGTTAGTTGTGTAACTGCTGAATTGACTTAGCTGTGAAGTGTACTCCAGGGTGTGCTTTGTTTGTTTGTCTGTAGGAAGAGATTTGGGAAAGGGCTGACTCTGTTCAGCAGAGCTGAAGCTTTAGAGCACCTCTCTCCTGTGCAGTGCTGGCTGTGCTTGCAGGGACAGAGCTTTTCCTCACAGCTCCATAGAAACCAGGGGTGACTGTTGCTCTGGCTTATCCAGGGACAGGTCACACTCACTGGATTCTGCACTTGATGAGGTAGTGTGTGTACCAGGAAGTTTGGCTGGGATGTTGAAGTTTTGTGTTAATTTATTTGTAGAGGCAGGAGGGGTTCAGTTTTGGTTCTGCAAATTCAGCAATGTAAGCAGACATTTTACTGCCACTTACGTAGTGACCAGGATGCCAACTAAATCATGTGTGCCTTTTGTTTCAGCAAGAGGAATTGAAGTCCATGTTCTCTTTGCTGGTCAGATTTGATGAAAAGCAGTGAAGTTGGCAGAAACATGGGCCTGCTCAGAGTACTTCATGAAAGCCAGGATGTTGTTTAATTTGTGTACTGTAACTTTATATGTTCCTGTGAAAATGTGCCAAACTTTAATGAGTTACTGTATGGTCAGAAGATAAATCTTTGGTTTTGGGAGTGGATTCAGGTAGAGATTGATAGTGGCCAAGTGTCCACTGCCCTGTGCAAACACTGGGCAGACCTAGAAGCTCTAGGTGAGACAGGGCTGTGAGCGTAACAGCAGGCAGGGAGGAAAACATTTTGGCTTAATTGATCATACATATTAGTGATCAGGCTGTCTCACTCCAAACTGGAAATTCTTGCTTGAAGTGTGCAACTCCTTCTCTAGCTGGTCTTTGAAAGTCAGGAGAAGAATTTTCACACTAGATACTACTTAGACCTTTCTATTATTAAACAGCAAACAGTTTTACAAAGTGTTGGTATATGCAGTTCTATAATATGACTAATCTGAAATAGTTGCACTTCCAAGGTCTGGCTTAACAAAAATGCTTTGAACCAGTGCAGCCAAACATGACTGAGGTTTTCTGCAATAAATGATGCTCAGAAAGAAATATTTTACAGCATGTGACCTTGTGCCTCAGGGACTGTTGTACATTAGGGAGTTTGCCAGGAGCAACTGAAGTTCCAGGACTTACAGACATTCTAGCAAAAATGTCAGTGTTGATTTGTTTTCTCCTTGAATCTTGTGATCATTTCCAGTTCAGTGTTTTGCATAGTTTTATCCTCCACACTGGAAGGAGGATCACAGCTCTGTGGTGTGGTGTTAGTGGCACTTGATAAGGAAGTATGTGTATAATGTTGTCTAGATGTCCTTGGTTTTAAGAATCCTTTTTTTCAATACAGGAAGAAATGAGACATTTAATTTAAGTTTTATTTTTGGTGTCTCTTTTAGGTTCTGGATATCTGTGTAACCCCCTCCCCATAGCATATTTGCAACATACAGAGTATGTGGCAGTGAGTGACACTCTCTTGGAATTTTGTCATCTTCAGTTTGTGATGAACAATTTACTTGTAAATAAAGGACTGAGTCTGCCAGGGAGGTGCATGGTATTATTCTGGGCACAGAAATGACTGGTATTCACAAAGTTGCTGGTGAAGGTGTATGGTTAAGATTACAACAGGGCTCCAGCCTTTCAGCAGAGAGGAGTGTTTTGCCATTGTGTTACAATGAGTCATCCATCATCAAGGGATTAATCAGGACTCACGTGAGATGATCTGAAAAGACCTTTGATGTTAATCTTAAAAAAACTCAGCAAGGATCCCTCATCCTGAAAATACTGAATGTGTTATGGTCTTGACTGTTAGTTTGGAGAAACTGTCTTTCCTCTACTTTGAACTCCAGTTAAAAGTAGAGAAATGGGTTAATGATAACTTCAATGTCTTCAGGTTGACTGGGCCTTCTGGAATGTGTCCTCTGGTGTTTGGGAGCTGATAGCCCATGGGAGTGGGGAAAGTTCCAGAATGCTGAAGAGTTGTGGAGCTTTTTCCCTCTCAACATCTAGAAAAAAGGCAAGACTTGGGTGTGTGCAAGGGAAGAGTGTTCAGGGAGTCTGTCCTGTATCATGTACTTTTTGGTGGTTTCACTTCCCTGTATTGCAATAATGTTCTTACTGGACACACAGATAATGTGATCCCAACAAATTCAATAAATAGTCTGGAAACAATAGCTTTGGATTCAGCCATTTTGGTGTAGATGGGTTCAGATTACTGTGTTTTGGTGTATTGCCTACACAGACAAGTAGCAGCTGGTGGGGAAGCAGTTCTGTGGGGGAGTATCCTGGGGGTTGTAATGGTTCCTAAATTATCATGACTCAGCAGCATCACTGTCATGAAAATTCATTTGTCATACTGGAACATACAGAAGCATTTTAAATAAATTTAAACTGCTTCATAGTGAAGCAGTTTCTCCATTCTGCTGAGGAGGGGTAGGTCTTCAGCTGGAGCTATCTTGTTCAGTTTGGGATAATGTGATATTTGACAAAGTTATGGCTGTGTAACAAGATTTGTAAAGAAAACAATGAAGTCTGAAAGAGAGAAACCACAATTAAGGTTTGGGAAAAAATGGATTGGTTAGCTCTTCAGTGGTTGTATGCATCAAGTTTCATCAGACATAAGCAGGTGATATATAAAGCAGCTTAAAAAAATTACCTGCAGGTGTAACTGGGAGGCAGCTCCAACATCCTGTCACTGCCTGTGAGCTGTCACACTTGGTAGGTGGGTCATGTCAGTTTTTTCATCATTGATGCTTTGAACTTGAAAGCTTGATCTTTGCCAGTGAAATTTGACTGGTTGAGGGTGGGTTGTTTGTTTGGTTGTGTTTTTTTTTTAAAAAAGCATGGCTATATTTGATCCCAGAAT